CTATAAGATGGTAGTGAGGCCTGCAATGCTTTATGGTGCCGAATGTTGGCCATTAAAAGAGAAGCATAATATTAAGTTAAGTGTGGCAGAGATGAGGATGCTCAAGTGGATGAGTGGCTTTACCCTTATAGATAGGATACGAAATGAGCATATACGTGAAAAGGTTGGAGTAGCTCCAGTAGAAGATAAGATTAGAGAGAGTCGCCTTAGATGGTTTGGTCACATAAAACGGCAGCTTTCCGATGACCCAGTTAGGAGAGTAGAGGTATTAGTTTGACTTATGTTAAGAAAGGTAGGGGTAGACCTAAAAAGACTTGATTAGAAAATATTAGGAATGACCTTTCTTTATTAGATTTAAAAGAGAATTTGATTTTTAATAGGACACAATGTTGAAAAAAGATTAATGTAGCCGACCCCACGTAGTGGGATAAATGCTTGATGTTGTTGTTGTTGTTGTACTAAAATGTTACTTTTTAAAAGCAAAAAAAAACTGCTACGAGGCCATTTTATTTTGGCAGTATTTGGATGAGATTAAGATATTTGGTTAGACAAATAATATGTGGCTGATTTTTTATTGTTTCATAAAAATAAAATTTTTGTAAATTTTTTTTTAAATAATTAATTTTTGTACTAAAAAATTACTTTATAGAATAATAAGAAAAATGCCCCAATTGAAACCTGACTGTGCTGCATATCAAAGGTGAGAGTTTTCTGAACTCAAATATTTTGTTTGCAATTTTTTTTTTTTTTTTTAGATTTGAAATTCGCCCATAATGTTTTAGGTTTCCAAAACCGCTCTAATTGAGTAATTTCAAAATAAACCACGTATTGTCCCCAACAAACTGAGAAATGCGGAATCGGTAAGAGAGAATCATCCAAATTTACTAAATATTTGTAGAGTATTTCTAAATACGCAATAATTACTAAATAAATAATCAACAAATAAGTAAATACTCGGTAAATATTCAACAAATCTGTGAGTATACTTAGCAAATACTCGATAAATACTCACAATTGAATATTTACTGAGTATTTATTGAATATTTATAAATACTCAACAAATCCGATGGGTTCTCCCATCCGAACTCCGTCAAAAAACTACCACCATGACATCTTGTTAGGGGTGTCAATTCAGGTCAATGGGTCGGGTTAGGGTTGAACCGACTTGACCCGGGCATAAACGGGTTGACCCGAATCCAACCTGTTTAGCTAAATAGGCCAAGAATCCTAACCTGAACCTGGCCCGCAAACCCGCGAGCGCAGTTGTGAGTCACGAAATAAGGGCGAATGGCGACTTGGCTGGGCGTCGTCGTGGGCGAATGGCAACTTGGCTAGGTGTCGTCATGGGCGAATGGCGACAGGGCGGACCGACTGAGAGCGTAGGGCCTAGGCGTCGACGCATCTTGGGCTCCTGGCGGGTCGACTGGAGCCTGGCGGAGGCGAGTCCTGCCGTAGGCCGGACCGTCAAAGGTGGGGTCGGTCATTGCCGGTGTAGGAGGCGGGGTTTGACTTGTTAACCCGAGACGACGAAGCTCCAGCGCGAGATAGGGTCGGAAACCGGGTTAGGTCATGCTGGATCCGGGTTAAACGGGTCGACCCGCGGGTTGTCGGGTCAACCCGAAACCGACCCGTTTTTCAAACGGGTAAAAAATCTGAACCCGGACCCAACCAGTTTCATAAACAGGTTTACCCGAACCTGAATTTTTCGGGTCGGGTTTTCGGGTCGTCAGAAATTGACACCCCTACATCTTCTCCTTCACGTGCCTCAAACCCATTAATCCTTTCCCTTAGCAAGATCCCCTAATGATCTTCTCCTTCACATGCCACTGATCATTTCCAAAGCAAACACTTTTCCTTGTTTCCTCTTCTTCTTTACACACCACTGATCTCATCAATCTGTGCCCCTGGCAGCTCCCATCCGCATTCCTAGCTCGGCACCCATCTATCGATGCAAGCTCAACATATGTGAAGATATATTAGTTTGCTAATACAAAAAAATTTATAATTCTTGCAGTCTTTTTTCAAGAGAAATTGAAGCTCAATATACTACCATAAAGGATTAACGTATGAGAGAACAAAAGATCGGTCTGAATATCTGAATATTAAAACCACAGTCCCAAAAAAAACAAATTATGTTAAGATGTATCCAAGAAAATTTAAAGAAAAAAAAAGAGCAAATTAAAAGGGCTAACAGTACATAGATTTCTGGTTATTCTTGTGCCTAGTATTCTCAAGGCATTTTTCAAGTTGCTCTGCGCATGAAAAGAATGAAGAGAGAAAAATATTGCAATAATAGAAGAAAGGATCTCAAATCTCGATGCAATAATTAGGTTTATTAATAGTATTCTTCCCCATCCAACTCCCCTACCACAACTTCACTCCAGAAATTATTCTCTTGGATCAGAAGCACCTACTGGTATTGCTCTCTCTCCCTTTCATTCAGATTTCATTCAGATTTAGGGTTTAGCAGTCTATTTTGTTAGTTTTTTTGTAGAACAAATCCCAATCCTGACTAGGTTTTCAAGTTATTTTAGTCTTTTGATCAAATTTGATTTCTTACAGGTAAGGATGGAAATGAAAATGGCATCATCCATCGTCATTCTTATTGTTTCACTTGTGTTTGCTGAAGCAAGTTACAGCAAAAAACCTCAGCTCAATCCAGAAGGTAACCACACTATGAATCATATTTTAATCTACATTCCTGAAATTTTGTATTCTATGGTGTCAAAAGCTGATAAATTCTAGAGAAGAAGAAATACGGCTCTCTTCAAATTAGAAATGATTTCGAGATATATAGTAATTCATTTAAAAAAAATACATTACAAGCTAATATAGGGTAAAATCAAGGCAAGAGTTTTTAAGTATCTTGTACCTTCCATTATACCGTTGGCAGGAGACTCCGTATGTAATTCATGTTTGGAAGCTTCAAGGAAAGCCAAAGGAGCCCTGAGGGACATGGAACTTTTCAAAGAATTTGATATGCTTTCCTACGAAGTATGTCATGTACTGCCAGAAAATTATGAAATTCAGGTGAGCGTTTGAATTCAAGTGATCCAATGGTAATAAATTCTTCCTCTCCATCTTCTTCACCCCTTTCTCATAATAATAAAACATGTTTGTCATGGCAGTGTTTAGAGAAAACAAAGAAGCAAATTCACCATACCACGTTATCATTGCAAGAACTCTTTCATGAGAAAAACCTTTGCAACAACAGAGGACTATGCACAGACCAGTTGATTATGCAAGAAGAAATCAAAATTACAGGAGAGAACAAAAAGCCTTTAAAGGTAAGAGAATAAGTGAAAGCTACTTAATTGTGCGGATAACCTTTCATCTGCATGACTTCTGATTTTTTTCAAAGATCATGCATAGTCCTTGGCTTTGAATTACATTCCACACTGGTGGTAGTAGCATCATGCAAAATAAATGTTACTCAGTTTAGATACACACAACTTAAGCACATCTAATTCATTCCATCTAAAACTGAAAGTCAAGCATAACTAGTGGCGGATCTACCTAAAGCCTAGGGGGGGCTGCCCCTTGACCTCTACAATCTGACCGGTCAGGTTGAATCCCGCCAGGAGGCATTGCCTCCTTGGACCCTGGTTATGCTTAGTTCCGCCCCTAAGCATAGCTGTTTTGCATAAATCAAAGGTAAAATCAGACAACAGGCAAAACTTGTTGAAGCATAAATTAATTTCCATGATAAACAACGATTTAAAAAAAAAAGTTACATGTTACCTGCTAGCGCCACAAACATATTGGACCCATGCGCGCAACAAAAACTAATTTATGGAAAGTGAACTTACTGAAGCAAAAACTGAAAACCATAACCAAACAATTAGCAGCGAAAAGAAGCCCTTGGTAACCACCAAGAAATGAAATTCACTAATGATAAACTCCAAAGAATCAGAGTTGTTTATTTAACAGCATCGTAATTCTTTTCAATTGCATTCAGTAATTGCTTCACCTTTTCCCAACTAGCCAGTTCAAAGGACTTTCCAATTCCCTTTCAGCTTCCCAAAAAATAAGATATTAAAATCTATTAATTGCAAATTGATTATGATATTATGATAATTCTAAGTCCTTTTTTGGCTCATACAAGACTATAAACACTTAAGACAATGCAGAATATTTTAAAGAGAATATTAAGCCAGCATGGCCTATTTATATAACCCTTCATACGTATCTAGCTTTAACAAATTAATTTTAAAATCTTCCAGTTGCAAGATGAAAGAGGTTGTATAGCATGCCGAAGGGCTGTCAGGGAACTACTAATGAAGATGAATCAACCTAAGATGAAGGTAAGTTATACTTTCTTGATAATTTCTTTCTATATATGATTAACTTATCGTCCAAAGTAAAGAGAAAGACATTTGCTTCATTTATTACGTTGGCTTCTCTTCTTCAGACAAAGATCATAGAGGCACTTATAGATTACTGTGAAGAAGCAGAGGATAACGAGGAGCAAGTAAGTTCACATCATCTTAAAAATCAGATTGTAAATCATTAGATAATGATACAGATTTTGAATTCCATTTTATTCTTCTGCAGTGCAAGCGAACAGTGAAGAAGTATATTCCTACAGTCTTGACTAAGCTGGAGAAGTTGAAACCCACTGATATGTGCCTTATGATGGGAATGTGTGATGAAGTCATAGCCTTCACTAACATATTAGATTAAGTATGTTCTAAGTTTTTCTTCCAACGTTCTGTAATAAATGGAGGTAGAGAGGCTATGAGCAATGGAAGTTCAGAATAAAAAGAGTCGCATCTTCAGTGAAGAAACAAGATTTGTCAACCATACTAATTAACGAGAAAATCTTCTAAGTATAATTGTTTTTCCTAGTTCAACTGACATAAAAGTAAAAGTTTGGACTGACCTACCACTTGTACGGTCATGTTGAGTGCAACGGGGAAACAAAGACATTATTTTGTTGTTATAACTGCTGGCAGCCATTCCAATCTATTTGGTTCTAACTTTTGTGGATTCTCTCACACAGTTCTAATCTTATAGATGAGATCGCTAATGCTTATTTAAGCAATTTTCACCACACACTTCATAAACAATTCATATCAACCGTGCTTTTAACAGATTACCAGGAGAATCTTGCTAGATGATTTGCAGGTATGGTTCCCGATGATGATTATGATGAACAAGAAGCAACATAAAATTATTTAACATTGTTTGCTTAGAATCACTTAAATAATGATGCGTGAAACTTATAGTGTAACATGAATACCAGTAAAATTGATAAAGTTCTACACATCTGAATAACGGTTCAAAAGCAGAAAATAAGAGAAAAAAAAAAAAATTAGTTCTCAGTTCAAAAGCTCTATGCATTTAAAGTTTTGATTGCGTCTTGATTTGTTAGAGATTAAGGCTTCATTTGGGGCAGCTTTCATGAATCAGTTTTATAGTACAAAAATTTTTTAATTTGAAATTTTTGTACTAAAAAGCTGCTTCATAAAACAGTAAGAAAATTGTCCCAAATGAAACCTAAGTTGTCTACAGGTCACCATGTTTAGTTGTGCAAAATCCCTCCTCACCAGCAATGTGGGTTAAGAGGAAGTATCCATATCCCAAATATATTTAGCAGTGCAGAATCCCGCTTCACTTCCCACTTCACTAGCAACGTTAGTTAAGAGAAAGGTCGTATATATAAAGAGTTTTCTCTATAATAAAGGCACATTCCTTGATGTGGACATCCAACCGTCCATGACTATCCGAGGAGCTGAAGATCGACGACCGAGATCACTTTATTTTATTTTAGTCTATTAAGTATATTTTGATTTAATTGTGCAATTTCCCTTTTTACCCTCTTGCCTTATGTAATCCCAAGGGGCAAATGTGTCTTTTAAATTCTTTTGAGGCCTATATATAGAGGCCCCTTCTCTTGTATTAGGGATGATGGATTATTAATAAAATTTTGTTTGCACTTGTGTTCTTTGGAGAGAACGTTAGTGAAATCCCTATGGGAGGGAGTCGAAGTTTCCACCAGCTGCAGGATGGGTCCGGGCTCGTGGCGTGAAGTCCCTGGGAGGAGGGCAACGTAGTACCCGTCAGTCTTTGGAAGAGTCCGAGGCTCGCGGTTTTTGTTATTTTCTCTCTTTCGTTTTTATCTCTTCTTTAAATTGTTTTTGTTCCATCGTTCTTCATCCTCCCCATCTTCGTTTGGCCGCCAGATTCTAGCCCCTCCACCTTCGAACTTTTATTACATCCAGTGAACGTACGCTCCTCTACGTTCGG